CCCCCCCCCCCCCCCCCCAGTATTTATAGAGAGACGGCAGCTCCGATCACACACTGCTTGCACTGGCATGAAGCCGAAAGCACCAGCCTGAGGATGGCAAGTGGGACCTCGCCAATACGTCACCAAGATACTCCTAATCTTACATGGGAAAAGACCCGAACGTCACGGGTATTTATATGTATGGTATTCAGCTTTGTTCAGGTATTTTCCCACGTCATTATTAAGAGCACAACTATAATGCCATGGGAAAATACCCGAACAAAGCTGAATAACACACACACACACACACACACACACACACTCATAGATTTTCATGGGTCATTTCCCATGTAAGATTGAGAGTATCTTGGCAACATTTCGACGAGGTCCCACTCACCATCTTCGGGCTGGTGCTTTTGGCTTCGTGCTTCTGCAAGCAAAGCGTGATCGGAGCTGCCGTCTCCCTATATATACTGGTAGGAGGTTAGCTATGTTGTCATTTCTTGATTGGTTGATGGAGTTGATGTTTGCAGATTGGCTGGCTTTTTCGTAAGAACCTATGTGGCTGAGGTATTGGCTGTGTGTCTATCAGCCTCCTGTGTTGTAACAACCTGGGTAATGGGCTGTGTGATGACCTTCTGAGTTCTATTGCTGTAATCTCCTGGGTCGTTGGCTGTGTTGCAACATCCTGAGGTTTTGTGGTATAACCTCCTGAGTTCTGTGATATGATATCCTGAGCAGGTGGCTGTGATGTGATGTTTCGGGTTTTGGTTGGCTCCGAGTTTGAGGCCTGGATATGTGTTCATGGCGTGTGTCTGTTTCCTTGGTTTGGGGGTCAGGGTGTGGGGCAGGTGGTGATGCAGCCATGGTCTGGTTTCTGGATGGTGGTTGTCTTTCGTCTATGGGATGGGTTTGGGTTTGAGTCTGGTGAGGGAAAATGGTGGTGGTGTCATGTGTTGTTTTGGGTCTGGTGTTGGTTTTCGTGTCTGGGACTCATTTGTTGATAGGGGCTAATTGTTGCTACCATGCAACAATTGTCCAGCCACATACATTGGACAAACCAACTGGAGAATAAATGTATGCATCACAGAACACAAGAACGCAGTCAGAAAAGAAGAAAATACTTCCTCCCTTTTCCAGCACCTTAAAGCCACAGGACATGAAATTAATTTTGAGGAAACCTAATTAATCTCCAATACTGAACATTTCAACAAGAGAATAATCAGGGAAGCCATCAAAATAGAGAAACACCCCCATAACATGAATAAACGGGAGGATGCCTCCTGCCCAGGTTTTTTTTTTTTTTGTTGTTGTTGTTGTTAATATACTCTCCCTAATCCTGCTTTGGCAGTCAGATTGATGGTAGTTAAATTTAATTACAATGTAAATAATTTTTATAATGCAGGATTTTTCTTTTTAATGAAATTGGATATGTCTCATTCAAAATACATTCAAGCATACTGTTCAAACATCTGGTTGAGTCATTTTAAAGCTTGTTTTAAACTCAGATAGCTACAAGAGCTGCTTTTTTTCTGCAAGGCAGGAACTGATATGATTGAAATTTATATTCATGATGGGGCTGGCAATTTTAAAGAAATAATAAGGACCTCTCTTGTTCCAATAGCTATCACATGTGGTGAACCTGAAAAAAAAATATCATGCTGTGGGGTTGCATTTATAAGCCCTGGATAAATTAGCATTTAATTCATATAATATATAATTCTTAGGAAAAATTAAGATTATTGAGTTATTCTTAATCATTATAAAAATCTAGATCAAAGCTTTGCCAACAGAAATTTGTCTAGTCTCTGCTGGAAAATGCCAAGAAGGGGTAAATGATTCATCTATCAAAGTAGTCTTAACAAACATTTAATCAGTCTTCCTGGAGCTTGAGAACTACAGTATATTGATCCTTGTTTTCTGGTTATTTCTGGAGAACTTTCCCTATATATTTTTTTTCATGTGTGTGAAAAATGTTACCATTTGTTCCCTGCAATAATCTTTTTGCAAGGTGAAAATACTCAGGTACATTAGTCCTGATCATAAGATTTAGTTTCTAGTCTGTTGATTATCTGCATTGCCTTTCTCTCACCTTAAACTAAGAGTTTAAGATAAAATCTGACCAATGCAGAATAGAGTAGAATTAGTACTTTTTTTTGTAATTTGGAAATTAGAATTCTATTGAGGCAGCCAGAAATTGTATTTGTCTCTTACACATCTTTTCACAATTTTCACTCATATTCAACTTATGATTCCTAAATTTGTTTCACATGTATTACTACCAGTCCAGATAATCATCACCTTTTGCATATATATTGAATTTTTATTAAGTTGGATTTTCTTTGTCAAATATCATCCTATTATTTTAAGCCTACTTCTAACACTAATCAAAATAATTTTTGAACTCCCCTCCAGTTTGATAGATTTTAAAGTTTTGTATCTGAAAATTTTTATACAATTTTCATCTAGATCATTCATGAAAATGTTTGAGGCACAGGAACAACTCATATAATATTCTGAAATATATTTCACTTTATTCCACTTGATGAAGAATTACTCACTGAGTAGTTTTCAAACTAGTTATGAATTACTGTCCAATCCATCAATACTAATTGGGATATCACAAAATATTAAATCCAAGATCATTTTTCTTAATCACTGTATTATTTTCAATATGTTTATAGGTGAACTGTTCATAATCTGCCCTATAATTTTTTCTATGATTATTGTCTAAATAATCTGATTATTGTCTAAATAATTTATCTTTTGTTTCTCTTTTTCAAGTTAGAAATAAAGGAAAAACATTTTGTTAGATAGTTTCCTCATTCTAACAAATTTCTTAAGAATAATGAATAATGAGGTTCATCTAAACCATCAATAATTATTTTTAGCCTTCTAGGATGTGTTTCACTTGAACTCAGAGTCAAAAAGGTTAAGTACACTTCTGTTTTGCTGGAACTGGAATCATAATTGCTTGGTGAAATGCAGAGAATATTGAATCAGTGCAGAAACTCTTCCTTTTCTTTATCACCCTTTTTCATGTTCACCGAATGGCACTGTTTCTTATTCTTTAATTTTGAACATATTTGAAAGTGATTATTTTATTAGCTAATCTCAAGTCATTAAGAGCTTTAGCTTTTCTGACACTTTCTCCCACATTTATCCTTGTAAATCTTCACATTTCAAATAAGTGTTCTTGTAATGATATTAGCTTTTTCTGCTGTATTTCCTTTTCCTCATTTGAACTGCTTGCAATTAAGCATTCAATTTCACTTTTGGGGGGAACTTCCAACCATCTTGGACTATTTTCTTAATTATTTTTTCCTTTTATGGAGTCCTACTCCATTGTTCTGAATTTATTAAAATGTCATCTTTTTTAAAGTCTAAGATCTGCCTTCAAGTACCAGCTTTGTTGTACATTATCTAGAGTTTCTTTTAATGAGAATGGCAGCTATATGAATCAAATAAGTAAAAAAAAAAAAACAATGTACACTCAGCTTTAGTGTCTGGAAATATCTAAACTTTCAGTGTTAGTTGTTATTTTTCCTAAAGTTCCTCCTATTTTCCACCTATCTATTATTATTTTTCCTAGAAACAAATCTTGGATGTCCTCCACTTTTTGAAGGAAAAAATCATCAACAGGCTAGATCAATAATTTCCCGAAAGAGCCATGCTTGGCAGAATTTGTCTCTTAATATAAGCCTTTTATGATTATTAATCCATGCACCTTGAAAGTTGACATGTGTTGAAACAAAATATTTCAATACACATCACAATAAGCAACAAGCATCTCCTTTTTATAGAGGTTCTCAGTCATCCAGGTCATGGTTGTCCCAAAGGTGTTTTTTCAAGAGTCAACTGGGCTTTCTTTGTTACTCCTTGAAGACGTTTTGCTTCTTATCTAAGAAGCTTCTTCAGTTCTCCTTTCCTATTCAGAACAAGTTATACATTTCTGTGGAACATCTATTCTCGATATCTACTCTCTGTATTACATCCTAGAACAGGATATTTCTAAGTCAGTCCCAGTATTACCTTGCTCAGAAATGAGCATAAGTTGACTTTAAAAGGTACAACCTCTAACCACTAAAAACATATGATGATGAGCCCTTACCATCAATTTTTTATGTATGATAGGGCATGAAACATAGTTTGGATCATGCATTTCTCCCTGTATTAAATAGAAGATAATTTTCATAAGTATCCCCATCATCTACCTTTCCCTAGAATGTTCTCTGCATGTTCCACGCTATACCATAGAATATCTGAGGGCAGAGAAGCACAAGGAATGCAAAAACAAGGATAAGATGGGGCACATCATTCCATGAATTCTGTTCCATTGTACAGAGGGAAAGTTAGAATACCCAAGCCTATAATTTTATTTGAAACCCAGTGATTTCCATTCCTTTTAAAATTAGAGTGCTCTCTATAATAGCTATAGGTGCACCAGTATAGTTTTTAAGATGAAAGAATAGACATCAACCTACAAATAACATTGAAAATGTTTCTTTAAAAAAGCCAGTGAATATGTGGCATCTCACCCTAGCACTGTACAATATATTAAACTATTTTCTTTATTGTTCAGCAGCTCTATAATTCTGTGCTCATGTAAATTATACCTATGGTAGTTTCTCGTTTTGAGAAATATGCAGAACCAGAATGGTTTCCCCCATTAC